GCTACCTGTTCCTGCCATCTGGATATTTCAACAAGTTATCTATTTTTGTTTGTTCTATTATATCATTATGTTTATTAATCACATAACCTACACTGCTGTGTTTCTGAAAAGTGTACAACCTTTCGTTGTCAAAGTTACAAAAAACTCAATAAGAGACAATGTGGTTGCTGGCAATATACAACGAAAAGAATACACATTATTCAGATGTTCATTTACTGAAGTGCTAACATCTAACTGGCGATCACTCAACATTTATCTCTAGGACCGACCAAGAAGAAAGAAATGGCAACTTGTTGAAATACTTTGCGCTGAGAATTTTATATTGTACCAAAAATATAATATTGAATAAAGCTGATGATGATAATAATAATAATAGAAGTATAGGTAAATGATGGTCCAATCTTATGAGCGATTATTATTAAGGTACAATATCATTTCAAAATACCAAATTATTATGAGTTTATCCAGAATTTTAGCAACCAATGATATTTGTGACAATTTAAACTACTACCAAAAGCCCAAGAATTTACTAGCTTATATAGTAAAAATTATTAATTAAAATACTTGAAATAAAAGCATCTTTGGAGCAATATTTTATTTTAAACACACAAATAAACTGTGAGCGATCCCATTGTAAGGTGTCGGACAAATATGATACTACGATAAAATAATGATAAATCCCATAAACACAGTGATGTATGATTGGAATCCTTGTAATTATAAAGTATGAACTCTAATTGTTGAAGGAATTTAAAAGCACATAACAGCAAAACTCATGACGTCTTTTAGAGACAACGCATTATGTTCTGTGCTAACGGTGATGTGAAGTCATAAGCTGATGATAAGACAGGTACGAGGATTCGTTGTGGGGGATTAAATACGCAGAAAGATGGAAAAAACTCGTACGAATACTCATTAAGTGACACTGTAGTATATGACACAATAGCCTGTCGGAGGTAAAAATGAAAATGAAATAAATAATGTGGAAAAATGAGGTATGTGAGATTTATGGTTTATAAAAGCACGCAGATGAAAGCGGAACAAAAAGTTAACGCTTACAAACAAACACTAACAATTAACAAAAATTTTGGGATTGCCCTGATGAAATGGTAGCTTAAAAGTTTGTTTCAGTTGGTGTAAGAACTTTAGACGAATATTCCTAATATTTATCATCCAAACCAGGAAAATAAGTTTTATTTGATAAAGCTAAGGTATACTTTCTTCAAAATGTTGCTTAAACTAGAGTAATAAAACAATGAATTGTTATAAAATAAAACAATAATAATACAACCCAAAAGTCTCCCATGTCGGAGCTAACGATAGTATTCAGTTGCTCAGGTATTAATAAGCAAGGCGAGGTTCAAACATGGGCTTGACCTCTTGAGATTTGAGAGTTTAAACTATGGAGATACAACTTTAGTAGAATGATAGGACCACTAAGTGTTTAAAATTCCCTACATGTGCGTCAGTACCACCGAGTTCGAGTCATGTTATTTAACGTTGTAAACAGATGACTAAATATACCTCGCCAACCGTAACGGGATAGCCCATATTTTCGAGAACAATTCAGACTACTAGTTAGTAACTCATTCCATATCTTGGTTAGATAGCCCCGAGTCCTTTTTAACTTAGCTAAACAGCATAGCGCGCCAGGGTATGTGGAAGTCATGCATTATGTAACACGTAGGCAGTTTTGGAAACTTGGAACATACATGTCTTTAACTTTCAGTGACTTTGTTTTACGACTGTAGAGTAATACAGAATGGACTATTTCTTGACGTACTTTTTGGTAGACAAATTGACACTCAAATGTACCACGCTTGACTGAAGCTAGGAATCAAACGGGCATTTAACATCTGCGCAAAGATTCCATTAGTCACGTTCGGTGAGATTATTAAGGAGGTTAGACGTATTTGAGTTTCCCAACTACCATGATCTGAGGAACAAGGAGAAAGTTATGCAACTTTCTGACCACCTTAACACTTTAACTAAGAGCTTGTATTGGAGCAGACTAAGCAAACACCAGGTGAAGGACTGGAATATTTATTATCTTCGTGCATTTTACTTTCAGTAAATGGACTAAACTTCCTGAATAATGTAAGTTGAAAGCTACAATGGGAAATTACGTCATCATGATGGTTTGTTTAGTGGTTATGAAGAGCCTCAGTATATTGGGAACGTACACCGTAAATAGATTATACAAACATGCTGGAAGTACTGACCCAGAAAATAGTTATGGTAATGATCAAATTATTTCATCAATATGATGCGTTTAGACTTTCATCATGAGTCCAAACACATGTGATGAATAAGTAAATCATGTGATAATTCGAACTGTATTAAAAGACGGACTGAACATTTTCAGTTGAAACACGTACTACGTTTTAATCAATGTAGTTAGAGACGTTTAAACATGGAAACCAGTACTCAGTAGCGTACTACAAGGTTCTGTTCTAGACCATTTACATTTCGTATTATACGTAAATGAACTCCTGTGCACCGCTAAACCCCCAATCCTATTTTATACTGATAACGCCAACAGTAACGGGAGGCGAAGATGCACGTACACTCCTGGCCAACCTAGATGTTTTGCTTAACTGATCTAAAATTAATCCCTCTAAGTGGATCTGCATGAACATTGGAGATGCAAAAGTAAATAATTACAGTACTGAGGAAGGGTCGGTGCTTTTTGTCCTATCTCACAATGTCCTAGGGGTAGCGGTGAGTCACAACTTTAAGATCACGGCCCGTTGCCGTGCGGTTGAAGCTGAAGGGTTCAGAACCATATGGACTTTAGGATGAACATTTACCAGGTTAGATATAAGTATGTCCACCACAGTATACACAACCTTGATGGGATTTAAAGTTGAAGACTGCGTCTAGGCTGCAGACCACCATTCGAAATGTGAATCTTGGATCATGAAAAACAGTAAAAAGAATAGCTACCTGTAGGATTCCAGAATTCACACATACAATGGCTTGAGAAGTTTTACTTCTTTACTTTGCCTTGCTGCAGATACAGAGGTAATCTGATTATGATGTATAGAATAGTTAAAAATGGTTTTGGACCTGAAGGTATTATATCTTTTCCTTCACAACAGATCAGAACAACTCAGAGTACATAACAGGCGAGTTCAAAGGCCAAAAACGAACAAAATAACTATGCTAACAGGTTTTCACATCGAGTCATCAACTCTTGGAGTTTGATCTACCCGAAGTGGTTGGTGAAATAACTTAACTAAAACATTACCGAAATAAAGATTACGTTTTCGTCCGTTCGTCTTCATTGATATAAGAAATGTAATTACTTTACCAACTTCAGGTTTATGAGCTCGACTCTGAGACATAGAATTCACTAGAATTCATAACATTCACTAATATACGACTACGTGTAATAGGTGGTGTTTAAAGGAACTATACATAACACACTGTTAAGTTTATTTCTATGAACATATATAAATCTTGGTTGAAAGATGGTCATTTGATAAATGACTTCATATTTTATCTACCAGAAGCTCATAGATGAAAATTATATCTTTTGGTTGTAACGTTAGCTGTGTATAGACACAGTAATACAACAGATGAAATACATGAACTGGAGTAAAATGAATTTTTGAAGATTCACGAAGAAATGTTATCCGATTTCGAGCAGTTTTATATGAATTAAACCGACTTAAACAACACCATACTATTTAACAGGATGTTTGGTGCTGTCTATCACCAACGACTTACCCCAAGTGTGTCAAATCCAGTAGGATTTTTTTGATACCAAAGATTTAAGATTGTTCTTCAACGTTGAGGTTCAAGCGCAAATTAATCATACTGATTGATACCGGCTTATCATAAACACATTAGGCATGATGAGAACTGATACCCGACAGTACTGTCTGAAAGTCCTTAGAAGTTCATTCTTGATTATCTCTGGGTTTGACAAGACATAAAATCTCTAAAGCAATCAAATATCCATCACTATTGCTTTTGGGAGATTAATGAATTCCCAAAACTTTTGATAGATACTAAGACCACTTTAATACATGTAGTAAACTAAACAGTTGTTTAGAGATATTTATTCGAGAGTAATATACGGAAATGACACATTTGTTTTAATAGATCTTTATCAAAGATATTGGACAGTCCTGTTACCCACATAGATACTATAAATACGTTCAGAAACGTCTACATCAATAATCATATAGGAAGAAGCCTCTAGTATACAGCATTCCAGATGTGGTATTATCCAGATGGGAAATAATTTAGTCCATAATGTTTAAAATATGAAAACACTGATTTTTATACACTCATGAAATAAGGAAAAATCAAGTTTCCCAGTGAAGCATATTTAAACCAGTGTTATAAAAACATGGGTTAACAATTGAAACGTTTTTTTTTCGAGTAAGGAAAGTAATTATGATATAGGGTTCGTTATCGTAACCACAGTTTTCGCTGTTTTTTAACATGTGTGCCACAAAAAAACTTGCCTCTGGAAATTCTGAGGGCGATTTTAAATAAAGTTTGGTTAGTGGGATAAACATAGAAACACTATAAAGTCTTATTTATTTATTTATTTCAACACATAGATAATGGTACAAAGAGGCACCAGATACATATGCGCCACACAAATCTCATTCGATATGTGTGAGGGCTGTGATACTAGCCGGGTCTAACTTCAGATGTATAGGACCTACGTGGAAGAGCGAGTACCAGTGTCACACAGAATCGATTCACAACTTAACGACACACAGATATATGTTAATAGACTAGTACAATGACTAGAATCACAGAAATACAAACAACATAGCAGAATTAAGCAGAACAATCTCTACCTGGTATAAACCGATATGTTGAGCAATAAAATAAATTAAGCTCTCCAAGTTCTGTACATCAAAAAATGTGTTATTTCAAACCTTCACTAAAATTTTAAAAAAGTGTTATAATAATATTTTAGAATGAACAAGTAACGAGTGAAATATTATACATTTCTTTGTTTTAACTGTTGTCATGACAACATTTAAGCTCTCACCTTAAACATATGTGAATGTAAGAGAAAGGGCCGTTAATTGAATTATCTCTCTGAATAACCTGTTGCATTGCAGTCGGAGTAATATATTACTTTCTAGCTCAACACCGATATCTTAAACGTGTTATTATGTGATGATGACATGTCACCCTATGTTTCACCATATATTTCCAAATCACCCTTCATGTATTCAAGGGTTTTTAGTTCTTTTTACACCTCGCGTCGTCACACATTCGTCGACGGCTTCTAAGTTTCTTGGCCATATGAGTTCATCATGATTACTAAGCAGTATTAATATATTTGCTTTATTTCTGGAAACACATAAAATAAGCAATGTATAGCTAAATCTTTGTCGATGTTTTAAACCAGTGTATGATTATGGTTCACGGTTGGTGGTTAGGGTTAGGAACCAGATTTATGGTTTTCATCTGTAACTGTCATCATGTAAAATGCCAAGGCGCTATTTAGCCAAAATGGATGAATGAATTTCGCGCCAAAACCCAACACCTGTTATCCTATATCTGACTGATTCGTCCATAAATTGTGATTTCGTTTGTTTATTAATTACGTGTGCTGGAATATGTCTATGTCTCACCACAGTCAGATCTCTTTCAATGAAGAATTCGGTCAAACATGATCAGTGAGATGCTCTGAAACCACTTTTTATCTCTGATAAAAGATTACTTCCTCCAACGTGACGTTAAATAACGGCTCGAATAATCTACATTAATTTGATAATGATGCTAGTTGGACAAACCTTTCAATTGTTGACTGGATGTTTACAAGGCTATGGCATCCTTGGAGTATATTTGTACTTTTGGCTGCTCAATGGCTAAGCAATCATATCCTCCAGAACTTCCATGATTCAAGGACGAGTATTGTCAGGACCACTAGGCTTATCTAGTCTGACATGTCAGCGTATTTATTGAACAAATTCATCCTCAGTAAATACAGGATCCGTCGAAAATTGTTAGAACTAATGTCCGGGCTCTCAACATCACATTTTGAAAAATCACCGAACTACTTAAATGAGGCTTTATTGACATCACTAATTGACAGTCTCAGTGAATTTCGTTGCAGCGGTATTTCATCACTTTTTTGAGTTCACCTCACTATATAAAAGAGCAACCATTTATGACTGCTCTGAGGATCTAAGACCACAGGTTTCTCATAAACTAATAAAGCTCTACTCATAAACATTTCAGAGGCGTTTCTAGTTTTACAGCAAATGGATTTGAATTGTTCTGAGTCTGAAGAGGTGAACAGGTTCCTATGTATCTTTCTATATCTAAGATACTTTTTGACCCATTTTGTTATCTGTGACAGATACTTGTTAGATCTATGTGATTTTAGGCGTGACATAAATAGGAACGTAACAGAGTTAAAAGTAACCTTAGAAATAAGCGATATCTTCTCAGTTGTTGAGTAAATGTTAAATAACTCATCCATCACTCAAGCACATTCGCTAAAGGCCGGAATGCTTATTCGCCACACATTTAGGCGAGTTTAAGTATGATCACTGGTTATGTCACAGATCTGGACCGTTGCTGCTACCTTGACGTGGTGGTCGGTCTTGTCTATCGTAATGAGCCAATCAAGCTATATTGGCTGGAACATAAACATTTACCAAATATTTCTTTCAAACTGTATAAATAACGACAATCCAGTAGATATCTCCTGATCAAATTGCAAATGCAAGTTCGAACAGTAAAATAGTTTAATCAGGGCCAATTCCTTTTCGATTTGTTTTTTAACAATACCACAATTGGTTTGAGAAGTACACGAATGATTCTTATGATATACAACTTTGCACTTTCAGAATTTATGGAAGCAGGAAGCGAAGTAAACTAATCAAGAGAATATGACAAAGATTCCTTTGAATGACACAGAATTTGAATATCTAAGAACTACACTTATATCAGAATCAACAAGTGTTTCAGATAAATTTGATAAGCTGTATTATTCTAAAGGATACCTTACAGGAAGGCAGGTAGGTAGACAATAAAAAGATTTTGGAGATTGAAAAAATTAAATTTCTTCTTTGCAACGTCGTTTCAGTATACCTCATATTTATACTAGTTCCAATTGTCGTTTGAAACATTAATAAGTCACGAAGATATAATGAAATCTGTCTGTTTGAAGTTCTTATTTTTTGAAACATCCTGAAATGCATGACAAACGTTTTTAAATTCACTCATTCAATGAATACGAGCAGCTGCCAAACTGCCACTATATTTGTTTGTTCTCTGATTGATCGTCAAATTTTGGTATTTTGGGTAGTGAAGATTATTAAATTCAGTGGTTTTACATTATGAACTAACTTGAGATAGACAACTTTTAAGAACCATCAAGTGCTGCTCAGCTGTTTCATCCTATAGCGAAACTTTATGAGTATGATTACACAACTCCACTAAGGCTCAAATCCTGAACCTTCAGGCCTTGCAGAAAGTATTTGATTTTCGGACCACTGAGTTATCATCCAGTAGTTTCCATTTATAACTTCAACCGATTTGCGATATCATGATTTAGGTGCGAATCATTCAGATTGATAGTATTTTAGTGAAATCGTTTAGTCTGTAATGTATTTGGGACAACCAAGTGATTAGTGTTGAGGTTAAGGTCATAACGTTTGTGGAGATGTAAAATTCACCGACTATTATGTAAAATTTCATCTGCCGACATGATTGGGAAATACGTTGCGGATGTCCACCCACTGTGTAACATGACTATTGATGGTACTTGACGTAGAATTAGGTTGAAAGAGAGCTATAGGAGGTAAAGATAAAAGATAACATCAGTTCAGGTAGTCGTATAATGATAGTCAGGGCAGTGTGAATGGGTTTAAACCGCTTAGTTGAAATCCCTATGTTAATTGTGATCACGAATTGTAGACTTAAGGTAACATGACTCAAGATAGATTACAGTAGGGCGAATTGATTTATTGTCCTTCTTCTTATTCTTAAATTTTGTTAGTATTACATCACAGTTTTTACTTCTATATTTTAACCCTTCGTCTCATATTCCATTCTCTATTCTTGATGATTTTCATCACTTTGCGTACTATTTCTTTGCATAGTGTATTATTCATTTATTCTCACCGTGCGTATATTAGGTATGAAAACTTAAAACTATGTTTAGTTGTGCATGTCACTGAGTTTTTTTTATAATTTACTGACAAACGTATTTGACGCAGTACATTAAGACATTTTTCTTAAAAGTATAATTATTATACACAGATGTTTTTTTCTCTAAGGTTCTCCATGTAAAATAAGTGAATAACAAATAGAATGGTTCGAATCCTGATTCTAGGTGATCAATCAGGTGGTGTATTTGAACAAATACCAATCTATGTACTAATAGTCTGGATTATTTGTGAAGGTTTAACGCAGTTATTCCAACCTTCATGTCATGGAGAATTTCCATGTCGAATTGTTGACAAATTTGGAAAGTGCAGTAGTTTTTATACATGCGATGAAATATTGAAAAATAAATAATGAATTAATTTGAACTTTGCTGGTGTTTTAAAATATCAGAACGAGTGATATACACAAAGGGATTAGTCTCACAATGATAAAATTTTAAATATCAAGATTGAAATCATGACCGATATACATACATAAAACTATAAATAACTAACAACTTAAACATGGAGATGTAAAATATCAACTAACTTCAACCTACTACGTAATTTGAAGGAAATGTAACTTATGACATTATCAGTCCCACCATTAGACTTTGCAAAAATTTTCATCCTTTGTACAGAAATTTTATTCCACTAAAACAGGAAATTTTAACATGTGTTGAAAATTACTAACTACTAGCAAGCTCAAAAATCGGTCTCATGCAGTACAAATTTCTTTATTTATTTTATACCTTCGAGTTCTCACGTTCATTCTTTCTTTTTCAAAGAGTGCTTCTAACATTTGATTACCCACTTTAATTTGTATCAGACTTTTAAAGTCCATTATTTGTGAGAATGTTAACTACTGTAACTTCGACTGATGGACTTTGTGTGTGGTTTTAAATGACTATGTATGACTAATTGCATAAAAAAGCAGCTCCAAATATATCGACAATGCCATCTGATAAATAAACGTCATACGTAGACGAATGAAACCATCATATATACATTTCATGTTTTTAAAATGTTAGTTGAAAGTTTGTTAATTTATCAATTACTAATCAAATATCAACAGAGTGATTGCTTTTTACTCGACCCATACATACACCATGAAAGTATAATTTGCTGCTCCTAATTTATCTGATTGCATAGGATAAATTATGTCGGCTGCAGTCGTCATCATATTTCAATATCTGATACCATAAAAATATCTGAGAATCATTGAAATATCTTGTCTATCATGAAAACAACTTCATAGTATTTTTATTATTAATTAACTAGGCTACTGATCATTACTTTCCCTTTCGTTGTCACTCATATTTTTAGGCTGCTGCCATTTTAGCTTGTTATAAAACAGCTCCAGAAAGAGTCCGGGTGATAAAAGCTTTACAAAAAGTACGTTTTCATCCTTTTATTAATATATGTATCATTACCAACGTTTGATTTGATAATTTCGAATAAATTGAGCATTGAGTGGACTGTTATAGATAAATAATATAGTCTGATATTAAATATTAGTCATGACTACAAACTCTACCCGTTGTTTTACTTCAATTCTCTCGTTTATTTTTCCTTGTAGAGATTATGCCGTATGACATGTGCTGAAGCAATTGAAATATTAAATGTTTTACAATCAACCAATTATGATCGATTATTTGCATTAGACTGCATTAAACAGTAAATTATTTGTTACTCGATTAATTGTTTCAATTAATTAACTAATTTTTGTGCTTAGTTTACGTAAGTTTTAGAAAATAAATTATTAAAGTGCAGAGAGGTTTCAAACTATGGAGTGACAGATGTTTTTTGTTAGAGATGTTTAGCTCATAAATAAGATCTCAATAGTTACACCTTTTCTAAACTAGATATTTCACTTATGAAGCCTTTGATTGTCTTCACTGGCGACTTTTAAAAGAAGTGAGCTATTGGAATTTCGCTACAAGTGATGGGGAGTTTGTTCTCGTGATATGGATGGATTTGATTGGTTGTTAATGTCAGCTATCCTTTCATAAGGCCTGTATATAGTTCGGTAGTTATTTTCTCTTCTACTCTTTTTTCATTGTAGCTTGTCAACATCTTTTTCGATTTAACTAATTATAAAATACTGACCGCTTGATTAATAACTTGAATGCTATGGCTTTAAGGATTGTTTGACATTTTTTGTGTTGCATTTGTACAGGATTTCAATATTTTCTCAGTTTAATTCATGTTCACACATATGATACGCATGAATATGGGTTATAACGTTAAGATTACCAATTTATTTTTACGTATATCAGGCTGAAAAGGGTCGTCACTTTGATCTCATCTTCCTCAAGGTTTCGACAATTCATTTTGCGAATGTTTCCTGGCTCATCCTCTTTTGTCTTTATGTTTATCAGGTCCAGTTATGTTGATTAAAGGGATTATGTTGATTTGTAGGTTACAGTTAGGCCTGAAGGTTCTTAACAGTCTGATATATTCATCATGTATGTTATAAACGTTCACGGTAAATTTTCTACCTGATCGTGATTTAATCACAAACTTCCGAAATTACCATTGAACGGATAGATTTTTAGTCATTTTAACAACAGAATCAATTGTTTTGTTTCGGTTTGATTATCACCATTAGTTGACCCGTTTTATAGCAGTGATATCGGTTAAGGAACTATTGTAAAAGTTTGAGAAGACTTACAGTCTTAGTTAGAAATTCTATAATTGTGTACACTTACAACTCCAAGCCAGATCTAACAACTGACATACTGGTCTTATAACTAGAATCACTTATTACGACCTTAATAGTCCACACTTTTAATTTCAGTCAAACATTTATATACCGTGATTGGTATTGTTAATGGGTTATTATTTCTCTTTTGGTTTGACTGACTTCATAGGTCATTAATTTACGCATGAATTGTACAAAGCCTTCATAACATAATTTAACCAGGATACTTTTGTTGATATGTATATTAATGTTCCTAATTCTTTTTCCTCTTTAACTCATATACTTTTACCCAAAAATATGTCGGTTCTCACCTTCTCATTTTTTTTGTCTTTTGTTTTTCAGTACATTAGTTGATCATGAAACAACTGACGGCATTGAATATATCTTGAAAGCTTTTGTTTATGAAACTGACAAATTGAAAGCCTTACAAATATTGTCAACTGTAATGTTTTAGATTATTTTGTTTTACAAATGATATAATTACTTTTTATTTATTTATATCTACATACATATAGGTTAGTATGTATGTTAGAAAAGAGTTAGCCAGTGGTGGACATCAAGTTTATGCACCATTTGGTGGTCTTTATACCCAAAGCTTTCCAGGTTGTGAGGCCCTCTATGGACCAGTTAGTGAACAAATGGCTCTCAAAGATGTAAGAAGTTTTCTTTTTTATTATAAATAAATTTATTACCTTTTGATTAAGTAAATTCACTTGCAGTAAGCAATCCACTTTTACGTTTGTTTTCGCTATATAATTATATTAACTGGAGAATTGTTGAATACCGTAAAGTATCGAGAAGTTGACTACACCATGGGGTTGTGTACTTGTGACCACATACCAGATTAAACACAAGACCTTCTGGTATTGTAAGGATTTTAGACAGAGTTTACATCTTGAACACTAGTCAATGTGGGATTACTGAGTGATAGAGGCAATAACTGTCTAACGTACGCGATAGTTTAGTCCTACCAATCACGATTTCGCACTAGAAGTTTGAGAATTCATTTTAAAGGGAATCATTAGTTAACAATTCTTTTTTGTTCAGTTGGGTAGTTTGAGGATATCAGTTCAGTTGTAAAATGAATCATACCGAGCACTGATATCAACTGTAGAACTACTAAAAACCGTGGAGCATTGTTAACTTTTACTGTTACTTTCATTTTGATAAACTAAGTGAATTGTATTAACCTCAAGCAATATATTGTTTGATGAGGCACAACAATGTTTAATATTGCAGCATTATATTACTTGAGGTAAGCGAACTCATCCTCAAGTTCCTAAAGAGATTGAGTCTTGTACTTTTCTGTTTTAGTCATGCAACGAGGTTGATTTTCTTTTTATTTTATACTCAGATTTGCAACAATTATTAATATTATTTAATACTCATTTATTATTTTTATTTAAATGTAGTTTGCTAAAGTGAAGTGCGGATTTCAGTGTAAATTGATATTAATTGAAAGTTAACGAAAAACGTTAAACACTAATCAGTTGTCTTATATCATATTAAAGCCTGTCATTCGAGATATGCATGTAAACATTCAGGAAGGAAAAACGGATTTTGAATACTTCAGAATGCAAATACTTGTTCAGATTATATTGCAACATTAGGTGTGCTCAAAATATGTCAATATGCTAATTTGAGCCCTCATAAACAAATTGCAACTAAAAGTCTAGTGTATAAATGTGTAATTGGTAAATTAATTACAAGTTGTTAGATTTCTCAAACAATATTAAGGGATCTGTTTGTTTTCACTGACATACAGTGACTGGTCAGATCATGTCAGTTTCTGTCGAATAGATTTCCTTTTAAAATAAAGTCAGCTTAAAGTTTTTCAGGGCCATTACTTCCCTTGGAGTCTACATTTTCCTCACTTTCAGGAGATATACAAACACTTACTTTTTGTCTTATTCTAGTATTTTACCTTAATTAACATCCATAAAGTTCGTTAGAATACTGTTTTACATTTGATGCCACAACTATAAACGCCTAACATTTTTGACACTACATCTTAATGATCGAGCTGTCAATTAAATGAAATATTTCAGAATTTTTATGTGTGCATATAAACGTAACGAAAAGAAAATTATAAATTGATAGTCTTAAGAAAAGCAATCTAGAAATGAACACGGACTAATGATATTGGAGGTTTAGTTTCGAAATGTTTATATCGATTTATAATTTCATAAATTACTGTTGAATTGCATTATCGTAACGGATGGTAAGATTTAATCATGAAATTTTCACTTGTTCTTTGAATAACAATAAAAATTGCTTCATGAAGCCTTATTATTAAGCTCTTTAGCTAGGGGCTAGGAACACTTGAAGGAAGTTAAAGGCAATTCATGTAAACCCCTGAACCTAGGCTTCATAATAGTTTTCACATATTGTCAGTCTTAGTTTTGAAACCATTGTCGCTAGGAATCATAATCTGATACTTCGTGGATATCGATAGCTGGCTAGTAACAAGGATTTTTTGGATCTCTGCAGAACCAACTAACATCGTACACTGTCTCGTCATTTAGACTAACGGGCACATTCCAAATCAATTGGTGAAATTCAATTAGCACTGAAGACTACATTAGACTGACGATGGTCAATGCTCGGTGGTTAATAAATGGAGAATGCAACATTATCTAATATACGTGGGTCAAAATGTTAGTTATCAAATACATCTGCCAGCGATTTCTTTCAACAACTCATCACTTCTGAGGTTATAAATGACATCAGAGTAATAAGGTCAAAAAAAACTTCACGGGGATAATTTGATTTAGAGGATTTTGGTATCTTGGTAAATAACTGATAATAACAAGACCGATTTATATTCTAATGCTCTGCTTCACAACTTCTATGGAAAATACAAGAAAAATGTATTTTTTACTTCGTTAGTTACTTATAAGTAGTAAGATGTTTTTTGAAATCCTTTTCGAGAAAAACAAATCGATTCGTTGAAGAACTTATGGGAAAAGTGATAGAAATAAATTCTAATTTATTTTTCTCAAGTGACCAGTCTTCTGATACATATTTTAGTAGTTGAATTTAGTAAGAATTTCATTGTGTCGTGGTATTCTTACTTCAGTTATCATGTTGTAAATTGAGTAAATTCAATTTCATATGGTACACATTCGTTTCTATAACAAGGAGCATAATTTATGTATTTATTCGTTGTGTATATAATCGTGGTAACTCTGTTTTGAATTGTTGTCGAACAACGAGGTAAATAATTGTGAGACTATTTAGATAAAAATTAGTAAAGTTAAGCAAGTCTTACAGGCATATGAGTAGATTTTATTTAACATTTATACCAAATGGTTAAGCTGATTAATTAATTTCTTTTAGTTAGCTTAAAAATTAGTATATTTCATTTGATGAAAGCTTTTTGATAGGACAAGTGATGTATGCATATGGTATTAGGAATATACTTATTTTCATTACCCTTCGTGTAAATAGACTGAACTCGAGAATGCATAAAATTCAGGATAATATTGATATAATTTTACCGTCTTTCTAAATACACTATCTATTCAAAAAATGTAAGGAAGAAGTATGTAAACAGTAGTTTTCTGCTTTCCTTACTGTCTCGGTTTTTCTCATTCTCCTATGCATTCAATATTTCATGTTATTTTCAATTAATCGGAAAAAACCAAACATGATAAAAATTAAGTCATAGGAGTGTGTGCACTTTATCCCTGCTAACCACTTTTTAATATATACCTATTCGTATAACCTCTAGGATTATTAGTAAAAACGAATGAAATATAATGATTATGCGAGTTATTCATTTTCATTTATTACTTTCAAAAAATATATCTGTATTATACACTGTCTCTGTTTATGTCAAAACATAAATATAGGAATAAAGAATTAGGCTAAATTAATATTAATTATGCCGATTTCTAGTGTATTCATTTATTATTTCCATTGTGATTATGCAAGTTCTAAAAACGTCTATCATTACTGTTAGTTACTAATCCATAGTTTAGATTAGCAGTTGTTTCTGTGATTTTTTTTTCAATATCTGAATAACGGCTTTTCTGTTTTGATCAATTGATTTGAACTGATAGTTGTAAGACAATATGGTTTGTTCATTCATCCTAATGTTTTAATACACAGTCTGATGATAAAAGTATGAAATAGAGATGGTGGTAGAGTCCTATTTGTGATTCGTCAACTAGATGTGCCTGCATTTCATAGTTGATATTCACTCCAAGACTCAAACTCATTGCCGTTCGCTTCAAACGACATCCCTTTTTTCTCCATTTAGTTAATGAGTTCAGACAGCCACTGGCTTGCCTAATTCAGTGAAGTTTAATTAATTTTTGTATTAGTCGTTTGGATCTTACCATCGACGTCAGAGACTATAATTGATCAGTCTCTTATTGGAATATATGCATACTTTGCGGACTGCCTCGATATTGCCTTCAGTCACAACCATTATATGCAGAGATAGATGGGGGCTAGTTCTAAAAATCATTGAGAGGAATCAAACAATCAATACAACAATCAATTAAAAATATAAATTATTCATAGAAATCATTTTTGTTTTCACCATATTCGGATGAATAATGATCAGTGATTAGAATATTTACAGTTGGATTGACGCTTCAGAACGAATTTAAGGAATTGTTCCTCCATGTTCAGTTAGGTCCCTTTTTGAGAATGATTTTATTAGGGCACAATGTTGACAAAAATTAATTATCAAAATTCAGCTGAATGCAATAACGAGGGAAGATGATTTAGTGATAAAAACAGAGTTATACTCTGGACATTTATCAGTTGTAACAAGAAGCTTTTAGGTTATGAGTAATTTTCTTTATCGAGCAACCAATGAGACTTTATTTCAACCATTTTTGACCCCATATTGGAATTGTTTTGTTCTACTGATTTCTTAAAGTGATACATAAGTATTTTTTGAAACTTTTTACATGATTTATTTCATGCGAATTGGTTAAAATTATACATTAGATGACATTTTTGGTGATGATGGTGTCAACTAATCCATAGATGAAACAACATTTCATGGGTGGCATTGAGAAGTGATTGCACCTTATTGTGGATTGACGAAACTTGAAGATGATAATCCTTGGAAACTGAGTGGAAAGTCTAAAACAATAATATTCCCCACGATACCTGATAATCCTGGGTTCTACCTCATGTGAAATCGTAGGTGTTTACCTTTAAGTAACTTTGATAATTAGAAAAAACCAAACATCTAATGCTTTATTGTTTCTGTAGTTAACCAGTTGATGATCAGGTCATCGTGAAAAGTAATTTTTAATTATATTTGAACTTCTCAATAGTGTTTTAATAAATACTAGCTAGGTAATTTAAGAACAATGTAGTTATCGGAGAGACTTCAGATATGCAACAGTTCTAACGAATAATAGAAATATAATCTGGATATTTTTATTGAACACTTAGGCACGTTTATGTTTTTAAAGAACATTAAGCTTCTAATTATAGTTCGTCGTATAGTAAATTCAAATGTGACAACAATACTGAATTAATCTATAAATTTTCACCGAAATACACCAGTAAACACACAATTACTGAAAATATGATAATGTTTTGTTTTTATTGCGAAACTAATTATTACGTGTGTTTTCTAGGGGACATTTTTGTTACAAAAACACAGTCATTTCATGTAAAACCGTGTATGATTCGTTTTAAACAATTGTAATCGTGGTAGTAGAATAAAAAACAAGCTTGTTTACACAAATGTAACTCTCAGATAAATTCACTGATATTCTCGGTGAAACTAAAACGCCACCTACTGAAAAATGACATGGACATGATATACAATGATGTATTATCTGTAAGCGCAGCATAAAAATATTATTGATGATTAACAACAGAGAACAGATCATTGAATGCTGGATACTGACACCTCAGCATTACGTTCATCAAATCTTGATGGAGTAGTGGAATACAATGATGGATTTAAGGCTTTCTATTTGGAATTGAAACAAGAAGCTTCCTTTGATGTGATATTGCTGATAACTCTAGTCTACAGAGTTTGCAGATTCATAAGCTTAAAGTTCTATCAACTAGTGTCATAGCGAGATCACCTGCTTTTAACTTATGTTCACCTATTATATATATATATATATATTCATCCATAATTATCCTATTGTTGTTTTTTGTTACTTCTTTCAGCATTTAGTAAAGCCTTCCCTTCCAGTAACAGTAAATGTACATCCATCACTGTCAATATTTCATTCATCACCATCATATAAATATATAGGTGATTTAAACCGTTCATGGTACCCCGGTGGTGGTAGACCACCTTTACCACCAACAATGGCGGAACATGTTAAAATAGGTCCACCAAAACAAGTAGCTGAAAGTGAGCCGGGTTTTCTCGAAAAATCCCCCAACTTCCATGATAACAATGCTAATAATACCAATAACGTATGTTTAACTGCTGAATAATTTTATAAAAGCAAATAAATCGTCATCTATTTGTAAGCAGGCAGAAACTGATTGTCGTTTTTAATATTATTTTATTACACATTGATTTTTTTATCCATTGTGAAACCAGTTAGAAGGAAATGAATTTTTCACACTTGCGATTATTAGATAAATGCAAGTCGTAAGTAATTAAACATTTTTTCCATCTGGAAGAACCAGATTTCTTTGCTTAAATTAGACATAAAATATGACATTCAAAAGGATTATTGATATTTTTGCTCACAATTTTGTAAGAATATACAATTGAATATATATGATCAATCAGTATTTTACTATTGAAGAATATGAGATGTAGATTTTTAAACTTTTTCTTCATGGGTTAGTTAACTATCATAAGAAAAAAAACAATAAATAATTACTGATAAAATCTGCTGTCAAGTTTTTGTTTCATTACATACCAATTTATTAAATGTCACTAAGTAAATTATCCTCAAATAAAAAGTACTCCGTGGCTTATTCATTGTAGTTCAAATAAGAGCAAAGCTATTAATTCCATTAAGATCTTTCGGTAATAGACCTATTTTAGTTATCTTGTGATATGAAACAATCATCATCTAACTTCCTCGGTGAGCATCGATTCTTTTCCATAAACTCCAGACTTCGTCATTTATCATGTAAGTTATCTCATACAAAATATCTTGAAGAAAGTCAGCTGATACCTTTGGTTTGTTGTTCAGTAAAGTGGTATTCATCTATAGAATGGACAAATAGCGCATTTTAGAATCTTGTACGAAACTGAACTAATTCGAATTCTCATACTTTACTGCATTACACATGTAAACTAAAAGATCTTCAATAAATAAGCTTCATCTAACATAGCTTCAATTTAATACCATCACATTTAATGACCGAAAATGAAAAAAAACACGATGTTCACAACACACAGTCATAGTCTCTTCGGTTAACTATTTTTCACAACTTCACCAGCTGATTTAACTCCTCTTCAATGAACCGTATTTTTAACGCCACACATAGCGTCACTTTTTGATGAAATGACACATTAGTAGTGTTTGGATTACTCGTGAATGTGTTTAAAACGATATATGTTATAAAAATATTCAGTTAAAGTGTACTGTTTAAAAAAATTTACCATGTGAAATAATAATCCAATAATTACTAATAATCAACTTCGAGATAAATATCTAAGAGTTGTTAAGTCAATTGATACATTTAGACTTTAAAATCTTTAGGGAACTTACCCTTAGAGTTAGAATTTATTTAGTTCAATAAAACCACAAAGCGAACATTTAAAATTCGTAATTGTTTCATATAGTGAATTGCATAAGATTCTTTTATGATTGGGTATTATGGTGTACGTAGTTGTCAAATTTTACTTGTAAGGTATGAAATAATCAATAAATATCCAAATTGAAAGCAATGTCTCTGCCGAGAAATTTATGGTCTAAAATTTAAAAAAGAACAAGGTCACTGAAACACAGGTGGCTGAAATAAAATGTAGTCTAGCAATGAATTTTTTGACATAAAATAATGTGATTTAGAAACAGTATATTCAGGTGTAGCAAGCACGATAACATAATCTTTACTTACAGGTTTTAGTATCCGTCAATCAGAAGTTTTTCATAGATTGAATCTACACGGTTTTAAAGCAGTTGGCTGGAGAGTAATTAGAGTGCATAAAAACTAGCTAATTCAGCAGTAGGAGAACAAATAAGGTTCACAGTCGCACCGCGCACCTTCATGGTAATAGATCTTTAGTCACTATCAAAACAGGGTTACTTTACTAACGTGACTACTCAAGTTACAAAAGAGAGAAAAAGTCGGTAAGATCGGTTACCAGGTTAAAGCACCGATATGCGGTCGTTTTCAAACTTCAAAGTGATTTCCAACCTATCACGGTATGTTTTTCAATTCTGTTTTCAAGGAGATTCACGTTTTGTTAAGTTTTAATGTGTAAGATGTCAGAGAATGGTTAATATCGTTTTAAAACTGAAACTAAACAGATCGTCTTTATTTTGTGACAGTTTTCGAGATTATCTACGTTGACTTTGACAGCTTGTCATGACGTAATACTGATTTCGTTCACGCTTGTGCAACCTCTAGGGAACTAATATTCCTCAATAATATGTGAAACTTTCTATTTAGTGCTATTGGCAGATAAGTTATCTCAGAATTATTCAGTCAATAACTGGCCTTCAGTGGGTTTATACTTTTTACAATAGTCCGGCATGCTGATAAATTTCAGCGAACCAAGTTACAGTGTGCCAACTACCAAAGTAAACTATTATGTATATCTTGGGAGACTTTCGGCCAATTAGAAGACAGTTTTTAGTCATAGTAAGATTAAAATAAGAAAACTTTAACTGATATAAAATTCGAATGTGATCAATGAATTCTTCCGGGTGGTGAATTGGTCCATTGTTTGAGGGGTATAAAGACGTCCAGTAAAGAAATTCATTTGTAAGGCTTAAAATGATTCCTTATACGATGGTAAATAGTGTTCAAAATGTCCGTGAACTGCTTCTATGGCGGTGGTGTGGGTTCGTAATGAAATTTTATCTGGCCACTCCACTATAGTGTAGTTTATACAAATCAGTATTTTGTTATATAAAATAAAACGCTTAACGGTTTAAGCTCAATTTTCTGTATCAAGGAATTCTTATTATACAGATGCCTTTGAGACACACTACGCAAATTACCAAATACCTTCAGAATCTCATAAAATATATTTACTGTGTAGTTTTCATTTCAGGTACGATCTGCATTAGACGTAGCAAGGGTTTCTCGTAAATGAGCTTACATAATATATGTTGTTGCATAGTTAGCACTTATTTATCAATTTTTAGCGAACTGAATGAGATTTTACTAAGCTCTACTTAAGGTGAAAACTATTCTTCAGTAAGTTTGAATTCATTGCAAACACAGAACTGTAGATATCTTAAATCTGATGAGTTCGGGACTATAATACACTCTAGTTCTGGCCTCTAGCCTAACTGACCTGACATTATGATGTATTCTGTTTGATGTTATGTGGTTGAAGCAACAGTGGGACTTTCTGACCCTACGTTTGTTTGCAAGTTGATACTCGCCTGTATTGCGTGTGTATATTCTCTAAACGTAATGCTAAGTGATAAAAGTTCGAATTCAACTTTTTATTTCATTATATTTTGCAAAATGTACATTGTCTTTTAAAACATTTGAATTGGTAACAAAATAACTTTGATATTACTTGGTGTGAAAGTTATCATAAAATGTCATTTTATTTACACATTTTATTTTTACTTCTTTGAAGAATCCGCAACATATTTTTAACAACCTTTGTGAATATTTTGATTTTAACAACACTGTGATTCTGCAAAAGTCTTCTGAGAGCTCTATATTTCCAGACTTTTCGATTATATAGTTTCATTTATATGAAAGACACTCAAGAATAACAAACTTTTTGACGAATTTTGTTTGTTTTTTCCTCCTTTTTTGTGACATAAGTGTAAATAAAAGTGGTTTAAAAGGCATGTTTGCGACTAACCGATGTTCATCCGTTAGCTTGGACATTGAACTATCTATTGGGTTGGAGCGTCTTTTCGAATGTCAATCATAAACTGACCTTTACTTCTTTTTGCTTGTTTTATTTGATGAATAAATTTGTATTTGGTGTTGATTTTTGTTATTCTGTATTTGTGTATGTATGTGTTACGGCGTTATTTCTTATCACGCTATGTAAATAGAAGATAAAAGTTTGGTAAAGAGAACTGAGGGGAAATAAAACAGGAAAAACTGAACTTCATCATAATCTTTGAAAGCATCTCGTGATCATATGGTAGCAAACAAAAGTGTAAATATTCTTTTCTTGTTTATTTATTCCTAATACTGAAGTTTTAGCTTAAGGTGAACTGAGTGCTTCGTGATGTTGTTTAATTGAAGTAACTGGTAATAAATGAAGAACAATTGAGGAAATTAAAAGCGGTGAATTACTGTTTATTCATAGACTAGGAATTCTTAACAATGACAGATGTCATCTTTAATAAGGGAACAAACCGAACGCCTTTAAGACTTGGAGTGGGGTAGTTATAATTGAATTGAATTTACCTCCTATGATTAATATCTAACTTTCGTCATTTTCATAATATATCATAATCTTCATTGAATTTAGTTGATGCATAAATATTCCATTTCTAGCTTGGATGACTTCATGTTACACTTTCATGTATATAGAGTGGGGCATGGTTTTTGGAATCTGCTACACCTATTTTTTTACGTTAAATGTATTCAAATTACAGATAAATGCGTATATTTTATTACAGAATGGTTTAACGAATTTTGAGTAGTTAGGAAATAATTCTATATCCAGTTGGGAAAAAAGTAAAGCTTACACAAGTTATAAATATATTGAGTTTCTTTTGAAAACCCTAATTGAATAATTATGAAATTATACAAACGTTTACCAAATTAATTAATCCTGGATCGCAAGCAAATTCAAACAATTAGTGTAGTGACATATAATTCATTAATTCTCTGTATGATTAACAGTTTTTAATTAGTACCATCTTATTCAATGTTCATCGCTACTTTGACACACAACGATAACACTCAGTGGTTAAATTAAAGTGAAATCCTGAAACAGTGGAGATTTGCATCTAACCAAAGTTGAAATCAGATGATAATACCATTATGTGACCTAATTGAGTAGAAGACAGACTGATGATCAAAAGGCTGCTAGTTTGAAGAAAAACGTGGTTCACGGGTGTTTTTTTACCTTTGATTGTTGTTTGTATTTGAGGAATTTCTTTATTCATTAATAAAATCATGAAAGTTGGTTCACAAATGTCAAACGGAGATTACGTCAATTATAATGCATTACAAGATACTTTTTAATCCAATATTTACTGAATGAACGTTTTTGATTTTACTTTAAACTATTGCAGGATGTTCTTTGTGTAATACTAGCCTCACTGTTGTGACTATATGTCCTTATGAGAAATAAAACATTATTTAGAAGATGTAAGTTATGGGAAACTGTGATCAGGTGATCAACATAACCAAAAAAACATATTCTGATGCATTATATAATTCAATGAATACATTTAAAAAGAAGTAATAAACAGTGTTACAAATCAATGTAAATCGAAGTCAGGTCAAACTTCAGACTAAAATGATAATTGCTCAAAATATCTCTTTTGCTCTGTCTGTTTTTAATTAAATGATTTCTTAGTGTTTTTATGTCCATCTTTGAAGTCGATCAAGAATAAGCAAAGAAATCAGAACAATTGAAGACTTAATTTGTTATTGAAATGTAGTTCATAACTATCTGATTGTGTAATGCTTAACGGTATATAATTAGTAAAAATTTAGAATAAATGGGTATTCTACGCATTCGTGCGTTTACAGATG